TTATACTGTTAAATGATAATTGGGAGACAATGCACTCCAGGTTATTTTTATTGATTTGATGAGTATAAGAGTATGGTTAGTCATTACATCAGATTTTTAATATGCACAGTTTTCATTAGAATTAAATGTTTTATACATTATGGTACTACAAGCCAAACCCAATAGGCTGTATAACAGAATTACAAAGAGGCACTGTTGGGTGATGACTATATTCGAAACACAACAGATAAATCCTTAAAGAAAATTTTGGTATTTCTTGTTTTGGGGCCAAAGTTTGTAAATTGCTAATAGGATATTGAACCAGTATTGATTGCTATATTTGCCACAATTTAGAAAAAGAGTAGCCACATGCAATTTGTTTTTTACTCTAACTTGACTTTACTGTAGTCCCTCTACACGCACACACACACACACACACACACACACACACACACACACACACACACACACATACACACACACACACACACACACACACACACACATACACACACACACACACACATATATATGTATATATATCTATATCTATATATATAGATAGATATAGATATATATACCTTTCCACTTCTCTTTGCAGAGAGCTTTTGGCTCTCTGCAACTCTCTAACACACATTTAGCTTGTTGTCTTGTTGTCTTCCTGCAAAAACTCACCTCCTGTGAGATTTCAGAGCAAGACTTCTACATGAGCTTGACTTCTGAAATATGTTAGACAGATCTCTGTAGTAATGCTTTCCATAATATTGACGTTTTGGCTCAACAATCTGAGCCTGTCACTGCAAAAAACAAGTACCTTTACTTTGACATGGACAGCTGTTCCATGGGATTACACTGACAGGACTTTGAGGTCATAATGATCTCACGCAATATAGAACCAATTCCAAAGGTTTTTTGGTCCATGTAATATATTAGACCATGAAAAATGCCAGAAAATGGGCCTAGTTTTAGAAATACCTAAATTTCCCTATAAAAAGAATAGTCTATCTTCATTAATCTAAATCCAGCAATAAACTGTGAGCATGACTCTTCTTGGCCACCACTGGGCCAGAAGTCACATTATAATAAATGAGCAGCACAAGGAGAAAAACTGCAGGAAAATAGTTGTAAACAGGACAAAGGCAAAGAACACTTCACTGAGTTTCAGGTCAATCTCCAAACATAAGACTTAATTCAGCTAATAGGTATAAGTATTTTTCCTGGTATGGATTTAATAAGCTGTTCTTGCTTGAACTATTTTGTAGCTCAGTACTGTCACATTAAAGCTGACTCTTTCTGCTATGGTGGAAAATTTTTTTTAACACATGTAACCACAAGTGGATTCGATTCAAATAGCTTTAATTTGTTTGGGACTTTTTTATGCCATGCAACTTAAATACATTTAAGTCCTGTACAATTTAAAATAAAACTTCCCTTTTCAATTTAGCATTTAACTCCAGGAACAGCTGCCAACATTTAAGGTGAATTCAATTAAACACTCTGATATAAAAACAAAACAAAGAAAACATTATGCTGAGCACATGGGGCTGAATATTATACCCACAGCCAGAGACCCCTCCTCTCCTCTCTTAATAAACATGATATTCAAGCTTTGCATCACAATGCTCACTGAACCGGCTAAGCACTTGACAGCAACATCAGTGCATCTCTGAGTGTATGAATATACAGTCTGGATTCATGCCTGGAGTGTTTCATCTCCTTCCTGTGCTAATCTTGGCATCGATGTTAAGCATGCTGTAAGTAAAGTCCATTTTTTCACTCATTCAGCCAGCCAGGAAACCAGTCAGCAACTCAGTCATTCAGTCATTGCACTGACATTAAGATTTTTCTTCACAGCAACTGAACATATACCAGAGCTAAGATCCCACTATCACTGAAGCAGCCTTCATACTCCAACGCTTACGCCTCACATCCTTCATGTCACAGCAAAGCTCAGTGGCTGTCCAATAGATTCGAGCTGCCCAGAAATTCATGACCTGCGCCACCTCAGAAAATCAACATGGTAAGTCACTAGGGGGAATAGTATGGTCAGGAGGCAGACTAACAATTATTTATGGCATTTGTCTAACCTTTCACGGATAAATCAAGTGAGTGGCTGCCCAGACTATCTGAGCGGATGCTGTGGCAATTTTCAATGTCTCCAGACAGCTAAAAGTTCAGTGCATCTTACACAGGGATAAAGTTACTCTTTTAAAAATCTAATTAATGCTTCTTTTATTTTGGAAGCTGAAAACAGTCTAACGATAGGAGGGATATCCTCACAGCATTTTCAGTTGCGCTTGCCAGTTCTAGAAAATTCTCAAATAAGCTACAGTAAGAGTGAAGTTATACTGACAATGTTTGGGAAAAAAAAACAGCTGAGAATGGATTCAAGTGTAAATGTCTTACTAGGATGGACACTTCCATCTTCACTACATAGAACGTCTGTATTAACTGTGGCAAGGCAACAGATATAAGCCTGCATGTAATTCCATTCAGAAAGCAGAAAGGATTAGAGCATTTTAGGTTTACGTTCTGCCTGAGCACACAGTTTCTCTATCCTTTTAAAGAAGTATGACTTTATTTAAATTGCTTGGACAGTAGAAATGAATGTAAAAGCATGACTCATTTTTTTTAGGAGTCTAGTAATTTTTTAAACTGGTGGAGGCGGAGGAGTGGAGCGGGTGGGGGGGTGTAGTTCCATTGTTGGTTCTAGCCAGACTTCTACTCCATGCTCACACTTAAGAGTGAGATTTGCCTAGTATTACTGTACCAAAGTGTAAAGTTTATGTTCATGAAGTCTACATGTAGTAGGCTTGAACAGTGGGTCAGTGACCAGTCAGACATCTTATGTAAATGTATGTACACTGTGATTTTTATTTGATGACTTCCGTGGAGTTGGCCATGTCTCTTCTGCTGCCTTCTGGTTGACAGTGTTTTTTTTGGGGTTTTTTTTGTGCTGATAACAGTTGCAACATTATACACTGAATAATCAGAAATGTCCTACTTCACATATTTACACTGAGGACTGGGGCAATCAGAAGCAGCATCTCCTACAGTATGTAAGTGGATAATTTCTTCATTTATTTATTTTTCTTTTTAATGTCATGATGAAGTGATGAAGTATTCTAACTATTTTGTTGTTGTTCCATATATCTAATTCAAAGCCTACTTCCATGACCAAAGAGGCCTTGTTAAAGCTGGGAGAAGCAATATGTTATTCAAGAGGCCTTAGAGAGAAGTCGACTCTCTCTCCTCCTTTGGGCTCTACTTTCAGACTTGAGGAAAAATGTAGTGTCAGGCTGGCCAATTACAGGTCTTTTCAGACCAGATCAGATGAGTAAAATAAAGAATTATAAAGAATACAAATGGAATAAAGATAGTCGCACACTGGGTTGAACATTCTGTGAAGCCAATTGCATCGGCTTTATTTTCACATTC